AGGAGAATACACAGGATTCGAAGTCAGAAGACCCAGGTTTGAGCTCTGACTGAGCCAGGCACAGTTCATGTGACCTTGGACAATCACCAAATGTTTCTGAACAGCATCTGTAAAATGACAGTAACTCCTACCTCACAGAGTTGTTGTGAGGATTACATATATGCTAAAGCATTTTGTGTATGAAAAAGCTTCTTACAAATAGTATTGTTATTCCTGAGGAAACCCCATCTTGGAAGCTGTCAAAAAAGACAACTGTAGATGGAACTGTCTTCCTTTTCTCTTTATTCAGCTTAGCCTTTCTGTTTGGCCAGGGCTGCTAACAGGGGCTAGTGGGGTTGAAATAAAGTCACCACATTTTGGTTCCTTTGGTCAAAGAGAAAGAACTCCAATATCCAGCTGCTCCATCCATAGACTCATAGAATGGAAGTGAGCAAAGGAAAATTTTAAGCCAGGATAGTTAAAGAGCCAATGAGAGAAGGCTTGCCTTGCATATGCAAATCCAGAATGACTAAAACATCTGAAGTAAATAAGGAATAGCCAACAAAGATGCTCAGAGATAATTTAAGCCATTAATGGGATGTGGGAAATGAGTTTATAAACTCTCTTTTCTATCCCTTTACCTTTGAGGTCAGGGAGAGGCATATTACTGACACCCCATTGGCCATTGCCCTATACCTGCCAATCACCCAAAGAAAATAATAGCTTCTGAGAAAGCTCAATTCAGTGTAGCAACTGTGATATATTTACCCTAATAAAGCCACCACTTGGTCTTTTCCAGTGCCTCTCTCTTATGGAGATCATCCCTGGAATCCAAAACTATCCTGTTTTCTAACCCAGTTAAGAGTTAAAAACAACCACAGGTCATGAGCAGTAGGCTTGGCAATTATACCTCATGCAGTCATAGGAGACTGCCCCATCATTCTCAGCATGTAGGGTGTACCTCTCACTATCTCTGGCATCAACCAGCCTTCCAAAGTGGTACAGTCTCAGCCACTCTGCTTTGGTGGTAATTCTTCACTGATTTCTCCTCTCCCTGTCCTTTCTGCATCCTTTCCCCGACCACCCACCAAAGGCGTTCTGGTCCCCAGATCAAACAGTTGCCTGCAGGTTGGTAATGTAACTTTGTAGATATTCCTTGGTTACAGCTAGACCCTATTGGTATGCTTTTTGAAATAATGGATCAAAATCTAATTGCTTTTTTTTAATTTGTTAGGGAGAGGAGGATGAGCAGAACTCCTATGCAGCCTGAGAGTTCTGTATGTGTCCATATATGTACACCGTGTGTGTGTGTGTGTGTGTGTAACCTTACGGTTGTGCTCAGGCTGACAGGGAGGGCAAAAAGTGAAAAGGAAGCATGTCTTTCTTGTTTTCCAACATTGCTTCAAAGATGCCCAACCCCCGTAGTAGCAAGCAGTTCCCAAGTGGAAGGTCGGGGCAGAGGCCTCCACCAAGGCCATCAATAACCAGGTATGAGCTACAGGTCTCTGTGTAATGTGAAGCTCTCTCGTATTTCATTTCTGCACCCAGGGGGCGGCTCTGCAGGATTGCTTACGGAGAGCTCTGTGTCTGGCACCTCTCTCCACAAGGCCCAGGCACCCAGGGTCCCACCGACCTGCCCAGGAATGCATCACATTGTTCTCTGGTGGTGTAATTTGGCTGCAGGAGCTAGGCTGAATGCCTCTCAGGGATGAGAAACATACTCTCCCATACTCTCCCTGGCATACTCCCTTCGCCCCAGCTAGCTTGAGCTTCTGCCCTATGACCACTGAGAGCATTTAAATAAAAGCCTCAGACTGAGGAAAAAAATCCTAATTATCTCTCTTCTATTAAGCCATGTAGAGAGACTCGTGTCCTGAGTGGGTCTGAGAATTTGGCAGAGACTTAGGGGTTGATGTTCTTGATAAGGGCAGTGAGAAAAAGGAGAAGAAATTCCTCCCTGCAACAGGGAGGAATAGAAATGAAGCAGTGAGTGTTCAGAAGTTAGATCTACAAGAAGTTTTGCAAACAGACCCTCAGGAACAGGCTATGTTTGTTTTTGTTTTTAATCTGAAGCCCATGATTTTATTTTTCCAGCGTCACTCTAAGGAAGAGTGTGAATTAGTGCGATTATTCAGGGCTGGTAATAATAAAAGTTAGCTTTTATCTCCAGGTCTAGGATATGGATGGCATTTTTCTTTTACCCAAGAACAACTGTGGACAGGCTGTGCAGCTGAGGTACTTCAGTCGTGCCTTCTCTAAGGGAGTCTCAGATCCTTAAAATAGATAGTATCTTTTAAGTTTGTATCTAGGTAGCACTAACTGTAATGCATTATACCCAAACATTTATTAAAAGTTAGAAGAAATGAGTACCAACAGAAGGAATGGAAGAGAGGAGAGGGGCTAAGACATTGCTGATCGGAGGGACAGACCTCTATCCAATAGAGGTGGGCTGGGAGAAGGGGTTATTAGAAGCAGAGTGAGGAAACTAAATGGAGCCCTGAATGCACCAAATAAAGTTCTCATTTTGCTGCTTGTTCCAAATAAATTAGTGTCTGTGAAGCGTCTAAAGCCAATCAGAATGCAGAGATAAGCTAAGAACTATGAGGAGCCGGGCGCGGTGGCTCACGCCTGTAATCCCAACACTTTGGGAGGGCGAGGCAGGTGGATCACGAGGTCAAGAGATCAAGACCATCCCGGTCAACATGGTGAAACCCCGTCTCTACTAAAAATACAAAAAATTAGCTGGGCATGGTGGCGCGTGCCTGTAATCCCAGCTACTCGGGAGGCTGAAGCAGGAGAATTGCCTGAACCCAGGAGGCGGAGGTTGCAGTGAGCCAAGATCGCGCCATTGCACTCCAGCCTGGGTAACAAGAGCGAAACTCCGTCTCAAAAAAAAAAAAAGAACTACGAGGAAAACTTAATTGCTTGGCCATCATTCCTTCTCAGGGCCACATAACCTCTGTAGTGGGGCTCAGATGGACATAATTCCTCTTGCTTATCCACCTTGCTTTTCAGACTTCTGACTCTCTAGACAGCTTGCCCTTCTCTTAACCGTTTATAGGAAATAAACGGTTCTAGCTCATCTTTATGAGCTAGAATGTGGAGCCCAGGGAAAAGCACAGAATAACATGAGATGCCAGAAGAGGCCCATTTCTTTCCACAGGATGAGAACCAAAAACCAAATAGATAATAGGGCGTAGGTAAATTTAAGTCAGGTTGACTTCCCACGGAAGTCCTGTGCCATTATTTACAGGGGCTGGCTAGGACCTGAGGCTTTCCCCAGCAGCCTGGCATGTAATTTAAGGCAGCCTCCTTTGGTAAGTTCATTCAGCCCTTATGTTACCATGATCCCGTTACCTCTCCACTACCCCAAAGCTTTCCTGAGGATGTCAGCTCTTCTCTTCCCCTCCCATTTCCCCCTCCATAATCCCACGATTGGCTCATCAGTTATCCAGTTAACTCCACTCTGAAGGAAGACATTCTCTCAGCCTGACTCATTCAGGCCCATTTCTCCACAGGCATCCCCTCACCACAGACCACAAGGGCTCTGACTAGCTCATGTTTTGTGTTAATGAATGTGAAACCAGAGCAAATCCCCTCACCAAAAGAAAATCCACCCTAAACTCTCCCACACAGGTCTCAGCAGGTTACACAAATATTAGTCCTATCATCCTAATAAATCTGCCCCCATAGCCCAGAGCTATGGCTCCCCCAACCTCCTGCTGCCTGTGCATAGTGAAGCTGCTTCAAAAACATATGAGGACCCCAAGGGATGTTGGAGAGGAACTTGGGAAAGAAAGGGGCCTATAGCCAGATTTTATGCAGGCCCCTTAATCTACAGACTTTTGTCAGTACTTTATAGTCCTAATGAAGGTCTGTTCCTAGAGAAGTCATGATGGGCTAGACCAGCCAGGGGCTTTGGTGAAGAGTATCTGTGGGCTGGAGTTTGGGGCATAATTAAAGCTCAGCATCTGACAGCTGGGCACAGTGGCTTATGCTTGTACGTCCAGCACTTTGGAAGGTTGCAATGGGAGGACTGCTTGAAACCAGGAATCCAAGACCAGCCTAGGCAACACAGCGAGGTCCGTCTTTGAAAACTTCGTTTAAATTAGCCAGGTATGGGGGCATGTCCCTGTAGTCCCAGCTAATGGGGAGGCTGAAGTGGAAGCATTGCTTGAGCCTGGGAATTTGAGGCTGCAGTGAGCTATGTTTGTGCCAGTGCACTCCAGCCTGGGCAACAGAGTGAGACCCTATCTCTAAAAAAAAAGAAATAAATGAAAAAAAGAACAGGTATCTATCCTCATTTTGTAGATGAGAAAATCGAAGCTCAGAAAATTTAGCTACCTTGCTCAAAATATCAAAAGCAAGTGGCACAGCTGTGACGTTTAACCCAGGTATGTCATAACTGCAAAATTTCTATACCACTCCACTGCTTTAAAATATCAACAGGCAAAAAAGATAACCGCTGTCCAAGTCACATAAAAATAGGACATCAAGGTTTGGGGGACTTCATGTCTTACCCTCCAGCTTACTAAGCCTGCTATCTCTGGAGATTCCACCCCTGCAAACCTAGCTAGGCAACAGCTAATAACGTAGAAGAAACCCTCCTCTATTTAAGTCAAATGTGGAGTTAATAATAATCACCAGGACCTGGAGAGTCACTAAATAAAGATTTGTTGAGTAAATGGAGGAAGGCTGCCTTCTAAGCTGTGTATCACTTTGGCCCCAAGCCCCAGCACTCCTTCCCACTATAGCCACTAATTCCTGCTCCCAGCTTCAAAGGCTAGGATCCTCTCATAAAGCATTACCAAAGCCAGAGATCCCTACTTGCCTAGTATTCACTGATGCCTTATGTGGGCCCTTGAGATCAGACCTGCTTACCCCCTTTCCCACCATCCATGAGTTGCCTATATTTTACTCCGTGTTTCCCCAAACCTGGCTAACCTCCAGAATAATGCATGTAAAGAAAAAAACAAAAACCCAAGGCCTGGCCAGACTTAACTTTCTGTATCCTAGGAGTATTCTAGGGTATTCTAATGATCCGTTAGGCACAGGAACCACTGCATTCCACCTCTGTTTGAACAGGCAGCAAGTGAGCAAAAGAGGCAGTGCTGTCCAATACAGGTTGAGAATGGTAGAGAGAAAAAGAGAAAGGAGAGAGAATGAATGTGTGTTTGTAGAGTTAGGATTTTTTTTCTTCTACAAAACACAGCAGTTCATAAACATATGAGCATGTGAACAGAACCTTGTATACTATGGATAACAACATCTCAGGCTCTCAATAATAGAATGTGGTGGCCTAAGATTTTCTTTTGGGGTACCAGGTAGTCTGCTCAAACTGTCTTCAAGAAGTGACATACTGTGTCATCTTTGTCTTCTCTAACTTTGGCCAGGTAGAAACAAAAAGAAGCTCTCTATAGGTACCCTTCCTCTTGCACACCAAGGAAGTATCAGGAAGCTGGTACAAAGAAAAGAAAAAAGGAGCCTCAACTACGTACTTCAGTGCACCTCATTTCACTCTAAAGACCCCCTATCTTTTCTGCTCTCCCTTCACATCTCCAGAGGGGGAAATCAGGGAGCTTGCTCAGTTTCTTATATCCCCTGTCAACTCCTTCCCAGGGCTGAGGAAGCAGCCAGGAGACCATGGTCCCTATGGATTACTCTCTATGTCCTTAAATAGAAGCTGCAGCAACCCAGGGTGGAGGGTGGAGGAAGGTGTGCATGCAAGGATCTTGTGCTTTTGAGTTGAGAGGCTCGAATTAGAGGGATGAGTGAGGTAACAGTGTGTTCAGGTCTGGTCCAGCCACTCTGCCTTCTTGGGGGCCTTGCAAGTATGGACGTCCACAATGTCTCTGCATTCCTTGCACCGCACAGCGCAGCACCAGTGGAATTTGCACTCACACTGGGTAACACGGGTGACTCGAGTTGTGTCGTACCCTCGGCCACAGCACATGATTTCACAACCATCTGTTCCTTTTGATGTCTTGCTGCAGACACGGCCTGCAGTGCCTAGGGAACCTGGGTTGGGGGAGAGAAGGAGTGAGAACCAAGTTATCTCTTCAGCTGCCCTGGATACCCTTACCCACATTCTCAGAAGGAAGACATAAAGAATCCCTTTTTTGGGCTGGGCACAGTGGCTCAGTGTCTCACTCACGCCTGTAATCCCAGCACTTTGGGAGGCCAAGGCAGGATTGCTTGAGTCCAAGAGTTCAAGACCAGCCTGGGAAACATAGCAAGCCCTATCTCTACAAAAGCTTAAAAAATCAGCCAGGTGCCATAGGCATGAGCCCGTAGTCCCAGCTACTCAGGAGGCTTAGGTGGGAGGATCACTTGAGGCTGGGAGGTCAAGGCTGCAATGAACCAAGATTGTGCCACTGCACTCTAGCCTGGGTGAAGGTGAAACTCTGTCTCAAAAAAAAAAAAAAAAAAAAAGCATGGGCTCTGACATCAGATTATCTGGATTCAAATTCCAGTTCTACCACTCTTAGCTGTGTGATTTAGTCAAAATGAAACATTAACTTAGTTTCTCATAAGAAAATGAGCACACTAATAAATAGATCATTAGATATAATCTCAGTTCATCTAAAGAGATGAACTCATTAGCATGACTGGCTGGAGGCATATTCCTAAGGAATTCCTAAGTAATGTCCCTTGCATTGTTATTATTATCCCTAAGCATTATCCCTTCCCCTTATAGTGGAAACTCTTGAAAGATGGGGATCATGTTTTTCCTCCATGCATAAGGAATGCTTAGAATCTCATTCTGACTGATCCTGCCAACGGATCATAAAATCAATAGACTTTTGGGTGGGTTGGGCCCATGAGAGTATCTACTCCAACCTTTTCCATGGTTAATAAGGATCCAGAGATGGGAAAATAACTAGCCTAGGTTCAAAAAGGAAAATAAATTAACTGATTTCTATAGCATTAGTCTCCACATACCACTGGGATAGGGAAGGAAAATGCTAGAACTTATATGTTTTTGTATCTCATCAATTTAAAATATCTATTTTGTATGTATGCTTTATAATTACACATTCATGTAGTGAAACACAGATATAACTTATAAATAAATATACATGTAATAGAGATATATGCTCAAATTGTTTTACTGATAGGAGTAAAGGATCCAGAATGTTAGGAGACCACTGCTCTGGAATGTGTGTTGACTAGGTCTACTGAATATGTTAGTCTCCTAACTCCAAGGACTGGCTCTTAAGTCCTCTTGGGCACCAAAAACCCCTTCTACATTCTGGAGCTGTGCTGTCCAGGGCCACAAGTCACATAGGGTCTTTTACATCTAAATTAATGAAAAGTAAACAAAAAATTTAGCTCCTCAGTCACGCTAGCCGTATTCCAAGTACTCAGTAATCACATGTGGCTAGTTGCTACTGTATTGGAGAGCACAGATATGAAAACATTTCTATCATCACAGAACGTTCAGTTGGACTCTACTGCTTTGGAGGGGTTTCCTGGCTCCATATTCTTTCTGGGATGACTTATATTCTTTGAATTCCGGGCCCCACTTTGGGTTTTAGGAGACCTAATCTTATGCCTGTGAGAAAAACCAACATACATTTGACATATCCTTTCTTCCAACTCCAGAGTTCCTCCCCTAAAGGTGCGTTTTCAGTATGGTAGTGTAGGCTTACACCTTGGATATTATGAAATTATTTCTAGGTATCCAGAGAGTGACCCTCTGAATTAGACCACGTGGGAAGAAAGACTACATAGTGGCAGGAAATCACTAGGAAAATCAGAAGGGCCCCAACTGTTTTTTTACTAACACCCTACAAAGTACACAGACGACTTTCTTTGTTACTTGGGTAGAAGCCCACCCTGTTTCTGTGCCCAGTTTTACTCCAAGCCACTGGACTCTTCCAGGAATGACAGTGATGGGTGAAAACAAACAGTACCAAAGATAGCTGAGGTTTTTTGGCTCCATTTCACCCGGTCCTGACTGTTGAGCCTGTAGAAAAGAGCCTGGGAGCCCCATGACAACAACCAGAGGAGAAGAGTTCTGCTGCATTGCATGTTCCTGGTCTAAGCTATCTGAACCAGAAACATGAGCCAGGATGGTAACTTTCCTTCTCTTGGAGAAAAACTGTATTGTCTTCCAGCGCCTCCAAGAACCCCACCGCAAATACCTCACGCAGACCGAAAACGACCATTTGCTACTTTACTTGCCTTTGCTAGGAGTCTCTTCTTTCGTTTCTTTCTCAGCTCTGTTTCAGAATCTTCAATGGCAGCACACTGGATAAAGCCTTTCAAGGACATCTTTCTAGCTTTTATCTCCCTTATGGGGAACGTTTACCCAGCAGATTGGTCTCTTCTCTGTCCCTGGAACAGGTCACGTGGTTTCCCACCTACTACGCTCGTATAAGAAATTGCCCACTCTTCTCTCAAGCTATCTAGATAGTCCGCACACTTCAAGGAGCAGCTTAAATTCTACGTTTTCTTTCTTTCTTTTTCTTCTTCTTCTTCTCTTTTTTTTTTTTTTTGAGACAAAGTGTCTCTCTGACTTCAGGCTGGAGTGCAGTGGTGCGATCTCAGCTCACACTCCCTGGTTCATGGGATTCTCCTGCCTCAGCCTCCCAAGTAGCTGGAACTACAGGTGCACACCACCATGCCTAGCTAATTTTTGTATTTTTAGTGGAGACGGAGTTTCACCAAGTTGGCCAGGATGGTCTTGATCTCCTGACCTCGTGATCCACCTGCCTTGGCCTCCCAAAGTGCTGGGATTACAGGCATGAGCCACTGCACCTGGCCAAATTCTACATTTTCAAATAAACTTTTATTGGCTTCTCCAATTATCTGTCTTTGTATTTTTCTACCCATTATATCTCATTTCTTTAGGTAGATTGCAAAGAGCCAAAGGCTTAGGGCTGCATCTTATGTTTCTGTGTAGCCTACACATTGCTTAAAACTGAAAACAGGTAACTAAATTAAACATTCCCTGGATGATGCCTACTGTATCCCCGATGCTGGAGATACAAAGGAGCGATGCGTGACCTCAGGCCTCAAGGAGCTGAGTGACTTCCTCCCTACTTGACAGCACTGGGCCTAGTGAACTGAGGCATAAGTCAACAACCTCATGACCAGGTGTTCATGTGGGGAGGAAACTGCCTCCTCCCACAGCACCTCCTTCCCTAACTCCTGAGACTGAACAGACCGTGATTAACCAGGGGTGTCTGCACTAAGAACTGGGACTCCATGTCCCCACCTGCCTTCCTTACTCACCTGCAGCCTTGTCCAAGACACAGTAATCTGGGGAGTTGTCAAAGTAGACAAGATCAGTCCGAGTGGCATGGCGATAGCCTTGGCGGGCTGCAGTGAAGTTGGCACCATCCTGGGTGGCCGTCACCTGCACAGCCCCATCATAGCGCCGCCGCAGGTAATCACCTGTGCGGCGGAAATCTGAGAGTGCACGCCAGCAGGTGCGCAGAGTACAGGAACCACTCACGCCATGGCACTTACACTCCAGCTTCAGAAATCGCCGCACAGCCTGGGGGAGGGGGAAGGCAGGTAAGGGAGAGGTGGCTAGTCAGGGCACATTTCAGTCATCCCTAGGGCCAAAAGGATGAGTGCTCTGAATTAGGCTGGACCTGGCCCTGGCTGGCTGGCTGAGCTCTTGGTTGTTCTCTCCCACATCGGATCCCACCCATTCTTCCTGAGCAAGCTCAAGAAACTCTTCTTCCATGAAATCTTCCTGGACCAACAGTGCTTTCCTTTTCATAACAGCCCACAGAACTGTAGAGCCATGGGATTCTGTTCATGACTCCAATGTGCTTGCACCTCCTCTAGTTTTCACCTTTTAGAGTGCCAGGTACCATGCCCTCTACTTCAGTAGTGTGCCATTTTCCCGCATAGTACTACGCACATAGAATGTGTTCAAACACCAGGGAACTGACTAGAACAACCTCTCATCCTCTCAGTCTTTATTCTCTCAGTCTTATCCTCTCAGTTCTTTTCCTTCTTAAAATGTTACTTCTTTTCTCCCCTTTTTCCTACTGGCCTCCTTTATGAAGACTCTTCACGCACCTGGTTAAACCTAGGCATTCCCAAGCTCCCTTGCATTTACTGCTCCTGTCCCAGGATGATGGGGCTTTTGGAAGTGAACCAGAAGCCTTCAGCTCTTCCACCTTCACATTTATTTAGTCCATGGTCACACATACTGGTCACCCCCAGCAAATATGAGTGCAGATACACAGACATGAGTACTGACCGTGCGACCGCAGCGGTTATTATGTAAGTTCATGAGGGCCCGGGCATCCTTAAGCCTCTTCTCCTTGGCATCTACGAAGGCCTTCGCAAAACGGACACCATAGTGGATGTTGTCACTGCAGCCACCCCAGTCAAAGTCCCCACGCTGGTCATGGTGTCGGCCACGGGTGTACGGGTCACAGCTGCACACACTTAGTTCACCCTGGCTACAGGCACGAGTAATAGCGTGGACTACTCCTGCTGATGAGATGGCATATACGAAAGCTGCCTCTCGGCTACCTAGAGAGAGAATTGTAGAGGTGTGTTTCAGGAAGGAGGCCCATGTCTCTTCCCTTCTTCAGCCCATACAACCTCTGACTCTGAAACCTTTTCCCTCCTTTTCTTTCCCAGCGTCACCCCTACACCCCCTTTATTCAAGGTGCCTTTCATTTCCAAGAGCATTCCCCAGAGTATCTGACCTCTTCCCCTCAGCCCTCACTACTCTCTATCCACTTCTTTATATATCTGACCTTTTGAGCTGACCTATACTCTTGTTTCCTGCCAAATTCCCTGTGTCCATCTATTGAAAAGTCTCCTGGTGAATCATCCCCTCCCACTGAGCTCCAGCACTGGCTCAGCTAAGCCTGCCTTAGTCCACATTCCAGGCCTTTTCAGGCCCACTCTGCTGGACAGTTCCCCCACAATGGAGACCCCAGCCCAGGGGTCAGCCATTTAGAGATCCAGGCTACCTTCTCTTCCTCCCCCTCCCTGTTCTTAGAGACTGATTAATTATTGCCCCTCTTTGCCTGACACCTTCAGATTCTCATCTTGTTCCCCTTCTCCTAGTTTACTGTCTAGCTCTCTTTAGCTTTTTTGCTGAGCTGAAGCCAAGCCACTGACTCCAAATATTTACATATCACCTTTCTGTTTATCTCTTGTTCCCATTACTGTAGTGTCGGGAGTACTCGGTGACGATAATGATGGTGGTGTTAAGAGCAGAGGGACTATCGTAGACCTCAGCCTTCCTTACAGTACATGGTAGCCTCCCAAGCCTCCCAACTGGGGAGGACAAGGAAAATGAGCAAGAAAGATGGAAGTTCTAGGGAATGCTTTACCTTGGTCTTGTCCCAGAGCACCAGGATTTAGAGGAGCCCCTGTCTACAAATCTAAGTTGCTAAGAGTCTGTTCCCAACTATATCCTGGGCTCTGCCCACAATTCTTCCTCTGATTATGCAACAGTGTATGGGAGAGGAGAGTGGGGATCCTGCCTACACTTCCCATTCACCACCCCAGCACAGAAAGGGAAGTAGCTGTCACAGGATGGAAGAGGCCCCTACTTCTGAGCATGACACGGCCAAAGACAGTGTGGTCCCGGTCCACGGTGGTACAGTTCCAGCGATGGTGGCGGAATTGGTGTTGACACTCTCGGATCCATTCTCGGGCACCCTCGCCCACTGAACGCATGATGTCTGGGTAACGCTGGCACAGCTGCCGCTGCCGGCTCACCAAACCAGGGATATTGTCACAGATCACTCGGGCCCCCAGTGCCCCAATGTACCTGCAAGATGGAGATGGCCCTGTCAGAAAATCCCAGCCTTTTTTCTGCATTGGGAAGGAATAAGGAGGGGGTATATTTAGCATCCAGACCTTGAAGAGATTCTGTCCCCTCTCCGTAACCCACATTCTATAAAGCTGATGAGTAGAAAACCATTTCCCACAGTTCTGAAGAAGTATGAATAGTTATACAGTTGCAAAGAGAGTAATTGAGTGGCCTCCCACCATCACCGGTTCCCCAGCCAAAGGCCAAAGTGACACTCACTCCCAGAACACAAACTAGGCATGTGTCACATACACAGAAGCTGTGGGTATGTCACACAGACTCATTGTTTATTTAACAAACATTAAGAGCTTCATGGAAAAATAAACTAACAAAATAAGGGTCTGAGACAACATTCTTTTTTTTTTTTTTTTTTTTTTTTTTTTTTGAGATGAAGTCCCGCTCTGTCACCAGGCTGGAGTGTAGTGGCGCAGTCTCAGCTCACTGCAACCTCTGCCTCCTGGGTTCAAGCGATTATCCTGCCTCAGCCTCCTGAGTAGCTGGGACTACAGGTGCACCCCACCACACCCAGCTAATTTTTGTATTTTTAGTAGAAACGGGGTTTCACCATGTTGGTTAAGATGGTCTTGATCTCTTGCCCTGGTTATCTGCCCGCCTCGGCCTCCCAGAGTGCTGGGATTACAGGCATTAGCCACCACACCCCACTGAGAGACAACACCCTTACACTCCCATTAAGATGGATGACCTGCGTGGTTGGTCCATGAAGATATGGTTTGACAGCAGGGAAATGGTGACAGAAAGGGGCTAATGGGAAGAGATACAGTGAGCAATTCAAGTAATGTTTACAGCTCTAGTCAGATCCATGTAACTAAAAAAATCCTCATTCCCAGTTGAGCGGTCTGGGGAGGAAGATCCCACCCTCTGCTCTCCTCCTCCAACTCTTTATTTCCAGGCCCTAGGGACTTTCTTAATGAATGAACCTTTTAAAATCATCTTCCCCAACCTGGAGAGACATGCACAGGCTGTCTGCAGTGGGAAACCAAAGGGCAAGATAAGTAAGAGGGTGACTCTCCCGAAACTCTAGTCCCCAGTCTGCCCAATGTGAACAATTAAAGGTCAGTTGAGATGGGATGCTAAAGAATAGGTGGGTTGCCAGAGCCACTGTTGTTTCTCAAGGCAATATTTTCTCTTCAACAGTTTTAACCCTGGATCCCATCACAGGCCTCAGGAAGAATATTTCAGAGAGAAAACAGGAGTATATCACCCTTTTCTCCCAAGAGGCCACCAAACGAGATCTGACCCATTCACCCACTTCCTCCAGCTCAACAGCCAGCTCCATTTCTCATTCCCTTTCTCTCTCTCAAACCCTATAGCACCTTTCTTGATGTGCTGGGAACTTTCTATTCTCCTGTCCAGAGCACAGAGGGCTGCCCTCCCTCCCCTTTTCTGAACAGGTGGGGGTCACGGAGAGCAACTGCTACTGCAGACAGAAAAGATTTGGTTTGAACTGTGAATGAGCCTGTGGTTTGGGAACGGCCTCAAAATGGGCCTAGAAGTGGGTGAGGAGAAGGGAGGGCTGCTGGTAGGGGGAGGGGAAAAGCCAGACTGCCCTGGGCTCTGTGTTCCCCCCTGCCACCCCTCCGCATTCCCACAGCCGGCCCTCACCCACAGACTGGATCATCACTGGTGACACCGACTCAAACAAACACAAGGAGGGCTGATGCTTGCCTCTTCGGGAACTCAGCAGGGCTGATGGGGCCCATCTGTCCCGGGGAAGGGGTGAGAGGGCTGGCCCTCCCCTAACAAATCCCATGGAATCAGCGTCCCCAGCACTGTCCATCAGGGCAGCAGCTTCCAGGAACAAACAAAATAAACACCCCAGACAGGGCCAGGCCGGAAAGGGCTGCCTGACGCACAGCCCAGAGTTACACCCACTGCTGTGGTGCTTTGTTTGGAGAATCAAGACCGTTGGAGTTGGAGCTTGTCCCTGTCTCACCACCGTTCGGCTTCCCTAGTTCAGCCCAAGTACTGCTCTAGGCATTGGGTGTTTTTTTGTTTTTTGTTGTTTTTTTTTTCACTGGGGCTTGGGTGAGGAAGGTTGGATGGGAATGAGAGACCAATAACCCAGCCCTCATGAGACAGTCTGGAGTGGGGCAGGCCAAACTCGGGCACAAAGTCCTTCTTGTGGTCTGACTTAAATCCATTCTGCTGCAGCCCACATAGGTCCTTTTTATTACATCCTCACTGAGTGTGGGAACATCTGTTCAGTATCTAAGATGGGAAGATAATTAAACGTCTCTATGACCACCCTTATCCCACTAAGTTACAAGTTCAAGACTCCACAGAATGGTGCTGGCTTGCTCTTCAGTATCAGCCCCTGGTAGTTAGTGTAGGAGGTCCCCAATAAAACTGAGCCTGAGACTAACCCCGTCTTCCTATCAGTTCAACACATGCCTGCAAACTGCCTACCATGTGCCAAGCACTGAGCTTAGATGTTAAGGACACAAAGATATTGAAGGCATCTCCCACCTCATGCTCTGTTCGAGGGTTAGATGCCCTTACTCTCTAGCTTTGTTTTTTCTTCTGGAAGTTCTTCACTTCCTTCCCAGCTTCCTGCCCCACAATGCTGCTCTTCACCTACTTTTTGCCAATTCACATCCCTTCATTTGACAAAGTGTGGTATACACTACTCTAGCCCCTTGCTACTCAAAAGTGTGGTCCCCAGAACAGCAGTATCCGTGTCATCTGGGGATTCATTAGAAATGCAGACACTCAGGCCCCACCCAAGGCCTAACGAATCAGAATCTGCATTTCACCAAGATCCCCCACATGGTTTGGATGCCCTGCTCCACGAAAGCAGGGATTTTTGTTGGTTTCATTCACTTCAATATCCCCAGTACTAAGAACAGCTAACTGTTCTGATTTATCCCCAACTCCCTTCTCCCCCTAGCCCGCCATAAACTTCATTTCCAATCTGCAGATGTTTAAGTTTGTATATTAAAGATACAAACGGGCCAGGAATCTGCTTTTTTTCTTTCCTTCTTTCGTGTACAGCCCCTAGTGTACATGGTTCATCCCAGCACATACAGGACTTTGAACATGGATAAAACTGTTAGCCTCCATGAATCTGCTCTTAATGCCACAGCATCCCTCATTTTCATTTGTAAAATAAAGATGATAATAATAGAACCTACCTCACTGGATTATTTCAGATTGACCAAGATGATGCTCATAAGGTGTCTGAAGCTTAGTAAGGGCTCATTAAAAACAACCACTGTTGGTAACAGTAATGCTAACAATATGATACCACTTTGTGCTTCTCTCTCTTGGTGAGCCTGTGAACACAATCCTGCTCTTGTGATTCCCTACATCCAACCTCCTATAGAATGCAAAATGGAACAGCAAAGCACATGCCAGAAGCCCCTTATTTCTTGGTTTGTTTAGGATAGAAGGAGGGCAGTGATTAGAGAGTAAGGGAAGAATCTCAAGCTATAAGAAAAATCCAACTATTAACCGGTGAAAATGATGGCCTTCTGCTCCAGTGTGGAACACAGATGCACCAGAGTAACAGGCATTTCTCTTCCACGGGTTCTACAGAACGTCAATCTTGCTGTTTTTTTCCTAAGAGAAAGGCTTGGGGGCTTAGCCTGCCTTTAGAAGGTAGCTTTGAGCCAGGTGCGGTGGCTCACGCCTATAATCCCAGCACTTTGGGAGGCTGAGGTGGGTGGATCACGAGGTCAAGAGATAGAGACCATCTTGATCAATGAGGTGAAACCCCATCTCTACTAAAAATACAAAAATTAGCTGGGCCTGGTGGTGCTCGCCTGTAATCCCAGCTACTCAGGAGGCTGAGGCAGGCGAATTGCTTGAACCCAGAAGGCGGAGGTTGTGGTGAGCCGAGATCATGCCATTGCACTCCAGCCTGGGTAACAAGAGTGAAACTCCGTCTCAAAAAAAAAAAGGAGGTAGCTTTTCACCTTATACCATAAGTGGTGATCACTGAGACGGGCATTTGGGCCTGTAGCTATGACAGGTGTGAGGCAAGGGGGCTGAAACACACTTCCCAGCCTGGCCCTGTTGCAGCCTCCCTCCTTTTCACAGGGGCTGCTAAGTCACTCTGTGTGTCACCTATCTCCCTCCCTAGCTCTTTCACCCAGGAATGTTTCCAGATCTTTAATATGAACCACATCAGGGAAGGGTAGTAGAGGGAGAAAGGAAAAGGGAGGAAGAGTAGTCAAGGGTACAAAATGGGGTATAGGAAGACCCCCATTGGGTCCTTAGTAACCACTGCCAGGATGCTGAAATTACCAGAGTGACACTTCCTCACCCAAACACCAGTTGGTCCCCAAGACTACATCCCAAATTGGTAGCAATCAAACTGGTAGCATTGGACTGTCATCTGGGTCCGATGAAGATGGACAGCGGTCACTTCATGCTGTCTCAGCAGAGACCCTGAAGATGCCAAGTCCCCAGCTAGACCAAACTCATGAAGGCAAAAGGTGGCTTTGATCTCACACAGAACTTTGAAAAGTTTTTCTCCTTATTCTCCTTCTTCCCTTTCCCTTTCTAAAATGTTTCAAGCCAGATGTAAGATACAGGCCTCTCTGTTCCCCCATCCAGAACCCCCCTCCTCACCTTCCCCAACACTGCAGAGATTTAAAAAAAAAAAAAAAAAAGATCCAAAAGAGATTTTTCTGAAACAGGAAAACGGGGTGGGGGTTGGGATGAGGAGAGATGCATCTTGAAATGATAGGAATCTGCAGCCCAAGCTGGTGGGCCCCTCAGCCAGCTACCCCTCACCCTTCAGCCAAGATTCCAAGTCAAGAGGAGAAAAGCCACAGGGTGCAAGGGGAGAAGAGACCACACTTAGGGGCGGGGAGCTTGCAAGGGAAGAAGTACAGAGTAAGGGAAGGAAGGGGGGCACTGCCTGGTGGAGAGGGGCAGTAGCCCAGTCCAAGAGGCCAGTTTGATTTCGGGGTGAAAAGGAAAGAATGAGTCTTTTCTAGGTTCAACTCTTCCTGCCTTGCCCTCTCCCCGGGGTGGGGAAGAAGGGAAAGCAGCTCCTTCTCCTACTGAAAGGTGATGAGTGTCATCCAAAGAGTGTGGGGGGGGGGAAGGGGGGGCAGGGAGGAGTCTAAAAAGAGCAGACAGCAGACATCCAGTGGATCTGTAATGCCTTTTTGCCTCATCTGTCCTCTTGTCAAGTGTCTGGAGCCTAGGGCCTGCAAGAAATCTGGGGAGGGGGTCTCGTGGTACCTCGGGACTCCGGAGCCTTCTGGCTCTTGGAGGTGAGAAACGGGAGATGGGAAAGAATAGGAAGAAGGGAGGGAGACATAAAGTTTCCAAGTGACATCCTCAAAACGGTGGCCGAAGACGAACACCTAGATAATGCAAGCCCATGCGTTTCGTTTAATCGTGGGAGTTAATGGGGTAAATTTTGCCCCGATTCCATTTCTAAGCCTCGGCTGGGTGCTGCTGCCTCACCAAGCTTTCCTGTGGTACGGGTGGACTAGAGCAGCAAGACGCTCGGCGGATCTCGCCAGCTGCCCCTTTCTCCGCCTCTCAGAGGGCGACCTTAGGCGATTGGGGCCCTGGCGAAGCTATTGCGGGCCCGGGAAGGTTATCGGTTCCCTGAACTCACCCTGAGGGAAACTCTAAAGGTAGCTTCTGCCCTAAGGAGCCTCAGCTGAAATAGAGGGGGTACAGCACATGGAGGCCTGGGGAGCTGCGACCGCTGGGCGCATCTCCGAATGCCCAGCGCCTTTCTCACCAGGCGTGTAAGATGTGGAGCCTCACACTCCCGCCACCCCAAGCTTTAGACTTTAGTGACAGTCTGCCCGAATCGTCTCCAGCTCCGTCGAAGCAACGGCTTGGTCCCCTGAGCAGCCCGTCCCTCCAGGCGCCTCCGGCCTTTCCTAGCAAGAGCCTCACCCGCCCAGCCTGAGAGCCACACTTACCACCAGGACGTGTCTACGCGGTCTGGCAGCGTCAGCAGGAGCAGAAGGCAGGCAAGACCCAGGCGGGCCGAAGCCCCGGAGCCGTCGGGGGCCGCGGGTCTGGGGGAGGGCACCGGGACCGGGGCGCGGGCGCGCCGAATGGGGAGCTGCGCAGCTTCCTCCGCACCACCCGGTCTCAGCATAGCTCCCCGAAGACTCCCGCCCCGCAGCCCGGAGGGGCGTGGACGGGGCACCTTCTGAGGTTACTCAGGCCGCTCCTACCTCACACCCCCGGGGGCCCATGGGGTTCACCGGCGGCTGGGGACCTAGGGTCACCTGGGGTCCAAAGCCTGGGAGCAAGGTCCCGGAGAGGGGCGCAAGTTGCGGTGTCCGGAAGCCGACGACGGCGCGCCGAACCCGGGGTAAAGGGGCGCGCTGCCCGAGCACCCGGTGCGGTGTCAGGGGGTCTGCAGCGCGGAAAGGAGCTGCGGGCCTAGTGTGCGGACAGCCCCTTCCACCGCGGGCTCTCATTGGACGGGGCGGGGCGGGGCCGAGGCCGGGGACACGCGCTGCCCTGAAGGCGGCTCCGCCCGCGCCAAGCCCGGGGCGCTCCTGGGCGCCCTAGGTGTAGCGGCCGCCTCCTCCCCTCGGCGCTCCCGCGTGCCACAGCGCAGCTCCCCCACCTGCTCCCGCGCGCCGCGACGGGGCGCCACGGCTCCCTCCAGCCCCCGAGCGCCCAGTCCCTGCCGACACCGCGCCACCGGGTCCTAGCGCCCTTCACTCGGCAGCCCCAACTTCTGTAGGGGACCTACCCGCGGGCAGAGCGGGAAGGGGCTGCAGGCACTTCCCTCCTGTCCCCAGCCTACAATGACACTGGCGCTGAGCACGGAGGATGAACTCATTTCCTCCATCCTTGCGCATCTGTGAAATGGGTAGAATCCCTGCCACAGGGAGTTGGGGGTCCTATCTTTTCAGCACTGCCTACAGGGGCGCCGTGGGCAGTCGACTTCGGGCAGGGAATGCTTTCACCTAGGGCTCATCGCCCCTCCTTCTTCCGACCCACTGCACCCCCGACCCCAAAGCATCACGTTTAGACCTGGCTCCTGCCTGCCCGGACTACCACGCCCGGGTGCTTTTCTTTACGGACCTGGAAGAGACGGCCGACGCTAAGGGGGCACCTGCGGACTCCCCGCCTCTTACTCCAGGGCTCAGCGGAGCTCAGTCTCTCCCCGCTCTCTCGCTGCGCCTCGGTCCTCCACCCTCTCGGGCAGGGCTGAGAGTATGAAAGAATCAGAAACAGCTGGGAGGTTTTCCCGCACCAGAGGCCAGGGTGGGGGTCCTGCCGAAAGGGTGGAAGCCCTGGAGAACTTTTTCCCTTCTTCGCCTTCCCACCCTGCCTCCTCCCTCGTGCTACCTCATCCTCCCTCCGCCGGCACAGCGCCTGGAGGCGTGGTAAATCGGGAAGGGGTGGGGAGGTGCAGTCTGCCGAAAGTGACCCTCTTCTCCCACCACCCCAACCCTCACCTTCCTTGGGTTGCAGGTACAACCCCTGCGGGCACAGGGGCCCTTAGTCAGAAGTAAAATTCTTTTAAAAATCCTGTTCCTTCTAACTCCGAGAGTTCAGAGTTCACCTGGCATCTGGCTCCAGGCCCTTCTTCAGCCTCAGCTTCTCCCACCTCGCAGGTGTCTTTCCGACCTCCTCCTGTGATTTATTTAAAGTCCTGGTGTAAACAACTCACTAGTAACTGCACATGCCCTCAGCCCCAAATTCACTGTCATTCCTTGGTTAGGGGTGGGGGGTGGTGGTGGCGTTAGAGGTGCCTCCCGAGTGTGAGCAGATGGGGTGCAGCTGGCTGCAGACATCTCAGAGACAGAGCTAGGGGAGAAGGTTTCGGAAGAACCTTTATCCTCTCTCCCCACCTCTCACTCCTTTACCCTGGCTTTCTGTGGTAAGGTGCTGAGTGCATTCATTAATTCAACAAATACTTATTTCCTACCGCCTGCTAGGACTGTGCTAGGCACTGGGGACACGTTGGTAAATAGCTCATCCCCTCCTGGAGTTTGCATTCTATTGGGGGAGGATAGACAATAAACAATAAACATCAGAAGCAAAACAGAGTATGTGAGAAAGTGGTAAGTGCAGTGGTAAAGACAGCACAGTCAAGGGGATGGTTACAGTTGCAACTAGGATGATCAGGGTAGGCTTCATTATGGTGACATTCAAGCAGAGATTTGAAGGAGGTGAGGAAACGAGCCAGGCAGCTTCCTGGCAGAGAGCATCCCAAGCCGAGTGAAGAGCTGGTACAGGGACCCAAAGGCAGGAGTGGGCTGGTGTACCAGGGCTAGCGAGAAGCCCACGCAGCTGGAGTGGAGTCACCATGGAGGAGAATTCAGATGAGGCCCTGAGGTGCTCCAAGTCATGAACGGGAGGCAGTGCTCCCCGCTTAGGTGGAAACTGGGGGCTGGGCTGGAGTTGGATGGAAGTGGGAGAGGACTGAAAACGGGGAGACCTCGAAGGACCGACATCCTGGCACAGAAACTAGGACTGTATCATTTGTAGCCAACCAGCTAACTTCTTTTCTTCCCTTTCACTCCCTGTCTTTTAGTGGGGTGGGCTCCAGTTGGCCCTGCTATTTCCTTAGAAAATCGCAGACTCTGTGCTTAGTTTTCCTGAGAGGGGCAGGTGGGAGAGAAGTGAGCCCCAGCTCATTCTTGGCTGGGCCCCTTTCCTTGGACCACTCTTTTATTTTACCTCCTCCCAGCCCCGCCCCATCCCTACATAGGGCAGTCTTGGAGTTCCAGCAGCCTCTCCCAGACTCCCCTGTGTGTTGAGACCTGGGTGTGACTCTGGCCCTGTGTTTATTTCTACATATGGGCCTGGGGTTGGTGGGAAGCACAGGGAGTGGGAAAGTTGGCTGAAGATGATCCATCAGCCCTAACCTAGAGTGGACTCACCCATATGGGCCCCCACATCACTTCTGAGGCCGCTTCTCTGGCCTGAGCTGTCTTTATAGTCAAGTGGGACTGTGTCTTGGCACAACATAGATGCTCAAGTATTAAAAGCATGTTTTTGAGGCCCAGGCTTGGTGGCTTATGCCTGTAATCCCAGCACATTGGGAGGCTGAGGTGGGAGGATTGCTTAAGCATAGGCGTTAGAGACTAGCCTGGGCAATATGATGAGACCCTGTCTCTACAAAAAAAAATGTTTTAATTAGCCAGGTGTGGTCATGCACCCCTGTGGTCCCAGCTAATTGAGAGGCTGAGCCAAGAGGATTGTTTATGCCCAGGAAGTCGAGGCTGCAGTGAGGCATGAATGCACCGCTCCACTCCAGCCTGAGCAACAAAGTGAGACCCCATTTCAAAATAAATAAATACTAATTTAAAAAAATGTTTAAAGCATGTCTTTGAGCTGAAGGGGGTCCCAGAAACCTCAGCAACTCCAAGAGGAAAGGAAGTGGGTGAGGGGACAAGACTTCTCTCTAAGGATTATAAGTCATCTCTGCCCCCAGAGTGACAACCCAGGATGGGGCTTGGCTCCTTTTGCTGCTTCTTCCCCTCTCCTGAGTCCCCAGCTCCCCAGGAAGAATCCCAGGCTGCAGCAGCCAGCTGACTGCAAGAGCTGCACTCAACCACTTAACTAGAGAACAAATATGGAGCCAGAGAAGAGGTTTTCTGGGATCTGCCTCTTTGGAGCTTCAAATCTCAAAATAAACTTCCAGTCTCAAGGTCCTAGACACTACTGGAGAGCTCAGCTCCTCACGCAAAGGCCTGTTGTGGGGCTTCCAGGCAGCGGGTCAAGGCCAGAGGCTCAAGCTAGTTCATGACCTGCTCCTTCATTTTATTTCCACACTCTCACTCTCAGTTCTGGAAGCCAGAGGGAGGAGTCACTGATTCGAGCGTTAAGTTCTGATCTATAGAACCCTGCAGGGAGTCAAGTCAGCACTTACCAAGCACCTGCTGTGCGCCCAACACCGGCCAGGGTATCCTTAATAACAAAGAGCAAAAGGGTCTTACTCCCAAGGCATTTTCATGCAAATACAATAAAGCTGTCTTCGGTGGCACACTAGATTCTGCTGAGGTTCAAGGGTGCACGCCGTGGACACGGTGAACAGTATCAATAGACCTGAGGAAGAATCCCTGGAGGCTGCCAGATTACCTGGGGCCTCCAGCAGGACAGCTTCCACCCAGCCAGCAGGGTTTGGTCCTGCCTCTTCCTCATAGTGGCACTAGAGCCTCCTCCTGTCCTCTCAAAAGTGGGCGCTCAAAGAAGAGTCTGCTCTCACCCTTGATATCACCTTATGCTCTGCTCTCTGGTGGAGCAGAGTTAAGATTTCTCTTTACTCTCTTCTCAGCTATTCGTGGCTGAATGATTTTGAATTTTTGCTGGCCCTGGGATGGGAGGGGAGATGAGCTAAGGGGAGCTGGGGTGTGGGTAAACAGCTCTTACCCCGCCCTGTTCTATCCTCCAGAAGGCTCCCCTTCCCTGGGCCCCTTTGGCGATGACCTTCTCTTTTTCCCTGTGGGTGGGAGGTGGTGTGGATGGTAATGAGCAGAGAGAAAGGCCAAGAAGGGGCTGGGGGGAGGTTTGGATGGGAGTCAAGGAATTCCTGAGCCTGCTGCTTGCAGAAGGGGCCCTGAGACGCCTTTCCTGAGATTTCTTTGCAAACCGAGGCAGGTCTCACTTGAAATGGGGCCAGGTTCACACAGGTAACTAATGCCTCACCTCTTGCCCTGCCACCCCATGCAGGTGTCTGGGGAAGTGAAGGAAACTTGGAAAGAACCCAGGAGCTGTTAAGTGGGGGAGAAAGTGGGGATCCACGCTTTGTACACAGCCTGGCAGGCCTCTCCTTGGTATTTATGAGCTCTTAGGCGAGGCGTGGAACGTGTCTCAAAGAGGCCAGACCAAGAGGGCTTTGGAGGGAAGGAGCATCAGCCCCAAACCAGGAACGGGGCTTGATGGAGGAGGAGCCCTTTCCTCCCAACCTAGTGGCTAAACAGGGGTGCAAACTGCTCCCCAGAGAATGGGGAAGAAAGGAAGAGAGGGATTTAAAGGAGAAGGGGAAGTAGGAGAGGCGGCTTGGGGAGGTGAAACGATGGGGGCAGGGAGTGGGGGTGTCTGGAGCCTTTTGGCACTTTGGCTGTAATCAGACTGGAGCCAGGCAGTGGGCGGGCTGACAGCTATGCTGGGCGGGTGGCCCAGGTTCCGTGTGAGGCCAGTGGGTGTGCTGCTGGGATCCTGGGTGGCCACTGACCGCCTCTCCCCGAGGGAGGTTTCCCAGTCTCCCTGATCACACAGGCTATGCACTGAGCCTTCTGTCTCCCCTACCACCTGTTCAGGGCCCTAGAATGATCTGGAAGAGAGAATTGTTTCCAGTGGACAAAGATCTGCAGAGGGCACGGCCAGCCTCCCTGCCTCCCTGCCTCCCTCCCACTCTGCCTTCCTCAGTTCACTCTACCTCCTGTTCTCATGCTCTCCCCATATCTCTTCTCTGAGTCTCCATCTCCTTGGGTCTCTCTCTGGCTCGTGTTTCTGTCATTCTGTGTCTATTTTCATCTGGCTTTTGTGTTAATCTCCCTGTCTTCATTTGTCTCTCTGTGTGTCTGAGTTGGCCTGCCTCTTGCTCTCTCTCTGAATGTCTCTGTTCTTCTCTTTCTGAATCTCTGTCTCTTGCCTATCTCTCCTCCAGTCTGCAGAACTCCCTGTCTCTCTGTGTGTATCTCTCTGTATGAATCTGCATGACCGTT